GCGGTTCCTCCCTCCGTTCCCGATGAACCCATGCAGCTTGGAAGGACCAGACTCACTCCACGGGAGCATCAACGTCGCCGGCGCCTTGGCCTCTGCCTTTGCTGTGGGCAGGATGGACATCTGCAAATGCACTGCCCGCTTCTGCCAAAAGGGGGGGCTCACCAATTTCGGGAGGAGCGTTGGTGAGCCTGTCCTCTGTTTGTTCGTCTCCTTCCCGTTTGACAATTAAGGGGACTGTGTCTTGGGATCAGTCCTCCCGTTCCCTGTCCATTCTAGTGGACTCAGGGGCCGATGACAATTTCCTTGACTCTAGTTTTGCTTCTCAGGCAGGTATCCCCTGCCAGCTGCTTTCTCACCCTAAGAGGGTTTTTGCTTTAGATGGCAGGCTGTTAGCTCAGGTCACCCACCGCACGGCGCCCGTGAACCTGATGCTATCCGGTAACCACCGGGAGATCATTTCTTTCTTTTTAATCCCTTCTCCGGCTTCCCCTGTAGTGCTAGGGCTTCCTTGGTTGAAGTTGCATAACCCTCAGATTGACTGGCCCTCCGTCTCCATTTTCAACTGGAGTCTTTTCTGTCATTCTCATTGTTTACATTCTGCCATCCCGTCAACCATGTCTTTAACACCGCCACCCCCTAAATCAGTGGATGTCAGCTCTGTGCCCGCAGTCTATCACCACCTCCGGGAGGTGTTTAGTAAGGACCACGCTCTCTCTCCCCCCCCTCACAGACCTTATGACTAATCCATTGATTTAGTTCCGGACGCTCCTTATCCTTCCAGTAAGCTGTATAACTTATCTAAGCCGGAAAGAGTGGCCATGGAGACATATATTTCTGACTCCTTGGCTACTGGACTAATTCGACCTTCCTCTTCTCCGCTAGGAGCAGGGTTTTTTTTTGTGGAAAAGAAGGACAAGTCGCTGCGCCCTTGTATTGACTTTCGGGGCCTAAATGACATTACTGTTAAGAACAGATACCCCCTCCCGCTTATAGACTCGGCGTTCGGACCCCTCCATGAGGCCTCTATCTTTACAAAGTTGGACCTCCGAAACGCTTACCACCTAGTGAGGATCAAGAAGGGAGACGAGTGGAAGACTGGGTTTAACACACCTCTGGGACATTTCGAGTACTTGGTGATGCCTTTTGGTCTCACAAATGCACCTGCGGTTTTCCAAAACCTGATCAATGACGTGCTACGGGACATGTTGAACTGTTTTGTGTTTGTTTATTTAGACGATATTTTGATTTTCTCGCGCAACCTCCAGGACCATGTGCAACATGTTAGTTTAGTCCTGAAGAGACTCCTGGAGAATCGTTTATATGTTAAGGCGGAGAAGTGTGAGTTTCATGTGTCTTCTGTGAGTTTTTTGGGTTTCATTGTGGAGAAGGGGCAAATCAAGACCGACCCTGCCAAGGTTATGGCAGTGGCCGACTGGCCCACTCCTACATCAAGGAAGCAACTACAGAGGTTTCTCGGGTTTGCCAATTTCTACCGCAGGTTCATCCGGGACTATAGCAGAGTTGCCACACCCCTTACGCAATTGACTTCTGTTAAAGTCCCATTTGTGTGGTCCCCTGTGGCCGAGGCCTCGTTTGCTAGATTGAAATTGTTGTTTTCTTCTGCACCTGTCCTTATTCACCCTGACCCCGCGCTACAGTTTATTGTGGAGGTGGATGCTTCCGACTCCGGGGTGGGAGCTGTACTTTCACAGCGCTCCTCGGCAGATCAGAAGCAGCACCCTTGTGCCTTTTTCTCCCGCCAGCTCTCCCCAGCAGAGAGGAACTATGACGTGGGGAATCGGGAGCTGCTAGCGGTCGTCCTAGCTCTGCAGGAGTGGAGGCACTGGCTGGAGGGATCCACTCACCCTTTCATTGTGTGGTCGGATCACAAGAACCTCTCCTACCTCAGATCGGCTCGGAGGCTCAACTCACGCCAGGCCCGATGGGTTTTGTTCCTGGGGCGGTTTCAATTCACCCTCACCTATCGTCCAGGATCCAAGAACATCAAACCGGACGCTCTGTCACGTCAGTTTGCTCCCCCGGTTGAGGACACCGCTGGAAGCACCATCCTGCCGTCAGCCTGTGTGGTTGGAGCAGCCGGGTGGGAGATCGAGGGTGTGGTCCAGGGGGCCCAGGGGGACCAGCCGGTTCCACAGGGTTGTCCTCCGGGCAGGTTGTTTGTTCCAGAGGTGGTGAGGTCTCCTGTCCTGCAATGGGGACACGCCTCCCGGATTGCCTGCCATCCTGGTTTTCGTAGAACACTGGCTCTCCTGCAACAACGGTTCTGGTGGCCCTCCATGACAACGGATACCAGGGGATTCGTCGCTGCCTGTTCCGTCTGCGCCCGGAGTAAGGCCTCACACCAGGCCCCCGCCGGATTGCTGCACACCCTTCCCATCCTTCACCGCCCGTGGTCGCATGTGGCGGTCGACTTCATCACTGGCTTACCCCCTTCGGAAGGCAACACCGTTATACTGACCGTGGTTGACCGGTTCTCCAAGGCAGCCCACTTCGTCCCCCTTTCAAAGCTACCTTCCGCACTGGAGACCGCCAACCTGCTGGTGACCCACGTCTTCCGCCTTCATGGCATCCCGATGGATATTGTCTCTGACAGAGGTCCGCAGTTTTCTGCCAGAACGTGGAGGGCGTTCTGCCAGGCGTTGGGGGCGTCAGCCAGCCTGTCTTCGGGTCTGGCACGAGGCTCGGGCAGCCCTCGTCCGCACTGCGGCCCGCAATCAGCGAGTGGCTGATCGGCACCGAACACCGGCCCCGGACTACCAGCCGGGACAGATGGTCTGGCTATCATCCCGTGATCTGCCCCTCCTCACTGAGTCTCGTAAACTGACTCCTAGGTATATTGGGCCATTCGAGGTTGACCGGATCATTAACCCTGCAGCTATAAGACTCAAACTCCCCCTGTCGCTACGGATTCACCCAACGTTTCATGTCTCTCTCCTCAAACCAGTGTCCACCAGTCCACTAAGTCCTCCTGCTGAACTCCCCCCACCCACCCTTGACATTGATGACCACCCGGCATACACAGTAAATAAGGTTTTGGACGTACGCCGGCGTGGTCGAGGCTACCAGTACCTCGTGGACTGGGAGGGTTACGGTCCAGAGGAGAGACAGTGGATTTCTCGTTCCCTCATCCTTGACCCGTCTATTTTGGATGACTTTTATGAACAGTTCCCGGGCAAGCCGGGTCGGCCGCCAGGTGGCGTCCCTTGAGGGGGGGATACTGTGGTGATTGGGTTTCTGTTTGTTTGGGTTTTGGCTGTGTTCTCTTGTGTTTTGTTTGTGGCAGGGGGTGTGGCTGGCTGTTGGCGGCAACTGGACTGGACAAGACACACCTGCATCCAATAATCATCCTCCATATAAGCCTGGGCATCTCATCACGGCGACGCCAGATTATTCCAGTCTACTACGAACGCCCGGGTGCGTCACCGCCCGGCTCTTCGTCCTCCCCGTTGCCAGGATCCTCGCCAGCCAATAAACTCTCGTCCGTATATCCGATCACTAACCTCTCCGTGTCTGCTTTGGGGTCCGAGCCTTCACCTAAACCTAACATAGTGGAGGCGGCAAGGTGCTCAGTGTTGCCACATTGGAAATGGTCAAGTATCGTACCAAAGGCTCAAAATGGTCGTATGTGGAGGATAATTATCGTGTATCTGGCAACATGGCGATCGGTCGACCAATGACTGTTCTCTCTACAGTCAGAGCTCGCGCAGGAAGGTGGAGCGTAAGGGAGACACCATTTACACCACTTGTGAGGGCGGAATAACTAGTTTGTGAAAGACTCAGAAACACAAATATCTGACGAAGCAAAATCCCAGACGCATTATTTAGGTCTCAGAAAGAGGACGTCTGGTCACCCTAACTGTGAGTCACTTCTTTAGCTGGATTGTTGATGTAATGTGTGAAGGAACAGAAGAATGAGTGTGATTTACCTGAAGAAGTAATCCGAAGTAAGGTGGAGTTACTACGTCCCATCTCGTTCCGGGCTTCACAGTAATAATTCCTACTGTGTTCAGCTGTGAAGTCAGTGATGGTGAAGTTCTGTCCTGATGCTCGTGGTGAGTCTTCATGCTCCTTGTACCAGGTGTAGTTAGCTGCTGGGTTAGCATCAGCGCTACAGGTCAGAGTCACTGAACCGCCCTCCAGCATCTCAGCAGAGTGACTCACTGACACAGAGAGACGCTGTGGACCATCTGGAGGAGACGTGAATGAACATACTAAGAGGTTAGTAGATGTTAGCGTAGATAGTTGATCATTTGAATGAATACTTGTGTGTCTTTCTCTCAGACTATCTCTATTATTCATCACAGCAGCTGTCACAGGTGAGACTCCTGCTGGTGTAAAGTGACAATAAGCAGCCTTTAATCCTTTGTAATGTTCATATCTCCACACATTCTTCTCTTTAGATGCTGCTTGTGTCCTTAGCTGAGTCTGTCCTCTCACTTCTAGTTGTTGTAGGAGTTATTGATTGTTTCCTCCACCAGCTGACACGTCACTTCTACTTATGTTCTGGAATAATTCACTTGAGTCTTTATGAAAATCACATTATTCTGTCTGCTGATGGTTTATATTTGTGTTTCTATTAATAAGAGAATGACATAAATAAAGATCTGTGTCTCCTTTAACATTTAGACTCCAGTGTGTTTACAGCTGTGATTAGAATCATATTGTTGTGTCAGTGTGTGAGTGACTCTTCTACACGTAGACTGCAGGGGCCGGGGATTGAACCAGCAACCCTCTGGTCAGTGGACCACGGCTCCACCTCCTGAGGAACGTTGTGCTTCATCTTTTTGATGCCTCTAGTTTACATGCAGCGGTCTGGTGCCTCCATGTGAGATGTTGGTGAAGCTCCACAGGCCGACACAGTGGAGTGAACTTACACACTGCAGGAGAACGTTGACCAGAAGATCCTCTTAAATAACAGGAATATCTGTCTGTAGAACCAGAGGAGACTAGAAGAGAAGATCCTGTCTCGATGTTCTCTCCATTCTTGTACCAGTCGTATTCAGGATCATCAGACAGAACACAGCTGCTGTGACACGTCAGCTCCAACCAGGTAGAATCTGATCTTCTCACCTGCACCTGGAGACCTGAATCAGTGAATATTATTTATTAAAGTGTCAACATTCACAGAAGACATTTATACTCTAGTTTTCTAGATGTTTAACGTTTGTAGATGATTAATATGTGAATTAAAATGTTACCTGTGACAGACAAAGTGACTCCAGGTGAACCAGTATATTTCTCTCCTGGTTTGGTTGTTTTTAATGTGAATTTGTACTCAGCTGAGTCGCTCTCTCTCACGTCTGTGATGATCAGAGTGCAACTGTTCTTAGAACATCTGTACTCCACACGGGCTGAATACTCAGGGTCTTTTCTCAGATCCACAGGTTCACCATCTTTCTCTTTAGTGAACCACAATATGTTTTTCATATCCCGGCGATCTAATCCAGATGGGTGTGTGAAGGTACAGTAAATTCCCACTACTGATCCTTTTGCAGCACAGACCTCAGTCTCGTCGTAATTCACTCTCCATCCATCCTGACTCTGTATCACTGTAACACAGCACATCAGGAACCACAGTCACACTCAGAACAACATCACAGGACACACTCTCATTGGTAGCTTACTGAAGAGAAAAGATATGATGAGAAATATGAAAATCATTGAGTTTATAGAAAGTAATGAAAGAGTCCACGATGTCCACATGGACTCTGCAGCTGGAAGGAACAGCGACGTATTGAACCTGTGGACCTGAAAAAGCTCAAGTTGAAGTATTAGAAGGGTTTGGTTGATGAGAAGAAGAGTGTCTTTGCTCTGTGCTCTTCTGAACACTGAACAACCAGGAAGAGAATAAAAATGACCACAAATACACAATAAAATGCTCCAAAAAGAAGAACAAACGTCGTCAGAGACTCGGAGTGAATAACAGCCTCTAAATGTGGTCTAATGCAAAGAAACGCTGCTGAACGATTAGAGGAAGTTCAACAGAGACAAATTATTCAGAGCATTTCTTCTTTGTTAATGTTCATTTAGTCATTATTTGTGTGTGATGACATCAGACCTGTGTGTGAAGTAAAAACACAGCTCCCTGTGTGTGTGTGAGGTGTGTAACGGCCTCACAATATAAATGTAGAAGTACAGTACCTTGTACAGAGAGAAGGAAGACGACTAATCCACCGGCTGATGGACTCATAGCTGCTCCTCTGTGTTCAATCAGCAGATCAGAAACTCTTTATTCAGTAAGTCACCAGAAACACGTCTACATTAAAGAGGAGGCTGATGTCTCTGAGGTCAGCTCGTCTCTTCTGGAGTTGGTAACAAGCTGCTGTTCATCCCCAGCAGAGCTTCCTTCCTCTCTACGTCATTAGTGTGCATGAGCTGCAGAACAAGAAGCTGCTTTGATGTTATCGTCGTCCTCCGGCTAAAAGAAGAGTCCATAAACCTGTTAGCTGCTCCTCTGTGCTCCTTTTAAACTTACTTTAACACAGAAACAAAAAAGTTACTCGTTTTTCGTTTAAAAGCAAAACACGAGAAAAACGAAACAACGAAGCAGCTGAACCGGAAGTACGTAACTTTTCACAGTAAAAGTCAACGCGATGGAACGTTTGAATGGTAGAAATTCGTCCGTGATGCCCGGTGCCTGATATATAAAAGGAACATGTCTATGATGAGGATCATATGCATATATAAAGGTACATGTCTATGATGAGGATCATATGCATATATAAAGGTACATGTCTATGATGTGGATCATATGCATGTATAAAGGTACATGTCTATGATGTGGATCATATGCATGTTTGACGGGTGGGACCTTAGACCTGGGAGCCTCAGCATAGAGCGGGAGGCTTAAACTCAAGGAGAGCCTCTCCATATAAAGGAGATCCCGTGAGAGTTGAGCAACTCACGTTTGTTCTCGTTGTCCGGATGTGCTGAAGTCTGGGTGCTTTGTTTGTTGCTCGCCAGTATCGTGCGGGTGAGCAAACCGTACTAAGGAGGTAGGTTGTGCATTTTAATCTTCATCTTGTAGGCCATGGGGAAATTAATATAATGTTCTTTCTATGGTAGGAAGGTTAGGACCTGAACCTACCTGCTGGTGCACAGGTGCATTGGGCCAAGAAGGAGGAAGTTGGGCTTGCAAGCACATTATGCGTTTTGTAATAAGAAGGATGGTGGGTACTTGGTGATTAATGGCTGTTTTGGCATTTCAGGTCTGAACTGGTGACACTAGTGTCAGCAGGACAGCCACTGCTCTTTTCTCCGACCATAGTTTTAGTTTAGATTGTGCTCAAGTGCCTCCATCTTGCTCCCTCCTATTTATAGAAATAACACACTGATGTTGTGCCCTTTTGATGACCGTTGCTTCCCCCTTCCCCACTTCTATTGTGTTGTGTCTTTTAACTAGGATCAGTAATCGTATTTGAGTGTTGTTTTTGTAGTGTTGCTTATTATTTAGCCTTTTAACAGTGTGCAGTGTTTTATTGTTGGAAGTGTCATTGTGCCCCCGGTCAATCACTACTGGTATAAATATTTGGATGTGGTTTTAAAAGTTATTGTTTAAATAAAAGTGATCTTGCATTGTACACGCAGAAGCCTCTGTCTATGATCTACCTCGTATGGGGTTTTGGCCAATAAGATAATTGAATTCAGGGTCTCTCCCCTCCATAGAGAGCAAAATATAAAAGACAAAACATTGTACGAGAAGAGAGGAAAAAAAGAAAATCCTACGGTGAAGGGAATCAGGTATGGGTTATCTTGTTTTAATCTGACAGGTCCAGAAACTTCTTTATTTCTGTTAGTCACAAGAAAACCAAGCTACATTAAAGAAGAGGCAAAAGATCTGTAAGGTCAGATCGTCATCTAAGGAAATGGTAACAAGCCGCTGGTCATCCCCCAGCAGAGCTTCCTTCCTCTCTAAGTCAATAGTATGCAAGAGACGCAGACAAGGAAGCTGCTGTGATTGGTATCGTCGTCCTCCGGCAAAAAGAAGAGTTCATAAACCTGTTGGCTTTTCCTCTGTGCTCCTTTTAAACTTACTTTAACACAGAAACAACAAAGTTACTCGTTTTTCGTTTAAAAAACAAAACACGAGAAAAACGAAACAACGAAGCAGCTGAACCGGAAGTACGTAACTTTTCACAGTAAGTCAACGCGATGGAACGTTTGAATGGTAGATTTTCGTCCGTGATGCCCCGTGAATGAACCGTGGACATTTATTATCACACACACAATTCACTACACACTCAGCGTCAAAAGACTCCACCCGGGATTTGTCTGTAAGACGGTGCACGTCGGCGCTCCCGGCGACCCTCCACCCAGAGAAGAGGGGTCAGTACTCACAGTTCTCCGGGTTTCCATCAGTTTGTTTCTACCGGCGTCCAACCAGCAAAGAAATAACTAATAATAACTAACTAATATTCCATCTTTTTCTTCTTGATAAATTACTTTTTAGAGAGAACAATCAGTCACTGGACTAATTATGGAATTAGTTCATTCTTGACCTTGAATTTCTCAGTGTGCTCTTCTATTTTATTGCTGTATGCAGCTCTTAAAATGGACCTTTGCATTAGTCATTTATAGTAAATGATACATATTTACTGCTTGGTTTTTATAAGGTGTCTTAGCATCATAAAATAACCTGTTTCACAAGCTGAATATATCATCAGTGACAGTATCTGTTAAGGTTTCGGAAGCTCTCGAGGGAGGACTCAATCCTTTGTTCTCGTCCCGGCCGGAAACGAGGACACGAATGAGTCAATTCGTTTAAATTCAAAAATCAAAAGTTATTTAATACCTGAACAACGTAATAGGGATTACAATTACAAAGTGAAATACTAAGCGAACAGTGGAATATTTCGCGAAATAGAGAATCCTCTGAGCAAGTCTGAAGTGACTTATCAACGCGGCTGCAGGAGAAGTTCTAACAGTCTTTTCCCCGCCATGGTCCTTTGAAACCTCTTGAGGTGTGTCTTCTTTGGTGCATTTGAATGTCATTGGCCTCTTCTCCAAAGGGTCACCTCCTCCATTGTCCCCTTCACGTCGAGGTGTGAAGCTGCAGCTGTAACCTAAAACCTCTCTGTCCTATCTGTCCCTCACACTCCACTGCCCTACTGGTGTAGATACATTCGGCTTTATGCCCC